CATTTATGCATTTTAGCTGCTATAATACTTCGGAGTCGTGAACTGCTTAAATGTGACCTTAGATTTCTAGAAGCATAAGGGTGGGTGCGATTATGCCGTACAGACCTAGAGAATTCACATGTAATTATTATTTTTTCTGGCAGCAGTGAAAACGAATTTGTTAGGAAGGCGTAGCTGCGTCGAATAATAATATAGCTAGAATCAGAATTCTGCTATTAACATATTTTAATTTTTCGTTTATTCATCTTCATCTTCTATGGCCGCTTCTCTTTTTGGGTCGCCGAGGCAGACGCGTCAGACAGTGTTTCCAATGTTTCCAATCCTGTGCCAGAGTCTGAGCTTCAGCAGAAGACAACTAGAGTCTGGAACAGACTCCTTCCATATGTTTGCACCAGGTAAATCTTGGCAGCCCCCTTGGGCCTTCGGCCGGTCGGCTTGGCAAGAAATAGTTGCTTCGTCTTGCTTTCTGGAGGCATTCGCAACATATACACAGGCCATCGCAGCTGTGACTTCTTAGTCTAAAGAAGTGGCGGCTGTACACCAAGGCTCTCACGGATATCTCTCTTCTGTACCATGTCGAGACGCCAGCGATTTGTCTCAGAAAGCCCATTTCAGCCATTTGTACCCAGGATCAAAGTTTTTTAGTCATGGCCCACGACTCATGACCGTAGGTAAGCATGAGGATGAAGTTAGACTTATACGAATTGTTTATTTTAAATTTTTAACTTTGAACTTATGCTGATTTTTTTTCAGCTATCAAATGGCCAAGGCGAACTGCAGCCGTAAGACGCACATGCATAGGCAGCATAGCCATAAGTCTCTCATGCTCTGACATGTTCACACTAGAATGCAAGTTGACCCTATTACAATTTATCCACTTTTTATCTGCTTCTTTGCTGGCTGCACTGAAACATCGTGGGGCGAGTTCTTTGCATTAAGGAATTGGCAGCTAAGAAAATTGGTTTTACGCCACGCTAGTTCATCAGCAACTTGCTGGAACCTGTGATTACAGGGATGTGCCTTAGTGGTCATAATTTATCGACGTGGTCAACAAACGACACTATCTGAATCGGCGGGTCCAAGAGGTGTTTTTCATCAAGTCCTTCGAAAATAAGAATTGTGACAGTGCCTACGGACTCTGCGTGGACGGGATTAACTGCTGCTCCTGTAATCTAGAAGCAAAGCAGCAGCGCGGATATATTACTCACTTTACGGTTCGACGCGAATCACTTGCTGCTGACAGCCACTTCAACACCAGCTAAACACCACAGACCC